AAAAACTTATGACCCTGGTGTAAATTCAGCATCAAATAAATGCTAATAAAAGTAAAACCAGAAAAAAGAAAGGAAGAAAGAAAGAAAAAGAGATGGGGTGGGGGTGGGGGGTGGGGGAGTGGGTGGGGAGGAAGGAAGAAAGAAAGAAAGGCACTTCAGGACACCAGTCTTCCCAGTGTGTACATAGCTGACAGATCCTGTCCTGCTGCTCCACCCTGCTGCTCCCAGGGCCATGGGATCTCACATCCTCCAAGGGACAGCACAGGCAGTCCTGGACCTCACAGCTGCTACCAGATCCCAAGGGCAGAGGGTGCAGAGCATATAGGGGGTGACACAGGGCCGATCTTTTGGGAAGGCTAACTCACCAGCTCCTTCAACAAACCCCATTCAGCTCTCTGAGTCTCTGCTCTTGGTATTCATCAGTTTCTCCACCCATCTATTTATTCATCCATCTATTTATCTATCCATCCATTCATCCATCCATTCACCCATCCATCAATGGAAGACATATTTCTGGAGCACTGCCATGCACTGCAGGTGCTAGGTGCTGCAAACACAGCAGTGAGGGAGACAGACCCCGACAGGCCCTGCTTTCACAGATCACACAGTCTGGAGGGGTGAGGGAGACAAACAAACAAGGGGACAAAATAAGAATAGAATTGTAAATGATGGCAAGTGCTAGCAAGGAAACCAGGGAGTCCTGCGAGGAATATTGGGGCCTGATGGAAATGCGGTCGATGGAGGGCTCTCTGAGGAATAAATATGCCGTCCAGGTGCAGAGCTGCCTGGCTAAGTTCTGGGCCTCTGCAGCTCACAGCTCCAGGCACCTTGATTGCAGACTCTTTGTGTGCAAAGAGTCTTTGGCTCCGTTCTTCAGTTCTGGGATAATAAGTCCTTTTGAGGAGTGGGCGGCCCCTGGTCTCTGGCATTTGATGTGTGATTTGTGCCCACGCTTCCCCCCAGCTGTGCCAGCCACACAGGCTCCTTACATGGGGATGGGATGTTGATGTGATTAGCTATGTTGAACTTGGTGAGGGTGAGGGGTGTGGGGGCTGTGCTGGGCTCTCAACCTTCCCTACAGCCCCAGTGTTCACCACCGAGTGCTGCTACTGGGTCCCAGACTTGTCCCCTGATTATCAAGAGTAGGTGCAAGTGTGTGTTTCTATTGGTGAGCAAAATGCCATGTGTGAGTGTTGGTGTGTTTGCATATGGGGGGGGGCAGAAGTGTGTGCATGGCTCTCGGGTATGTGAACACAAGTACCCTCTGTACATGTATGAATGTGCACATGTGGATGGCGTAGACACTGTGAGTGTGGGTGTGTGGATGTCTTTGAGCCTGTGACTGTACTCTGTGTGTCTGTGTGTCTGTGTGTGTGCGCGTGCACACACTCCCCAGTATCTCCGTGAGAGAGTGAATGTGAGTATGAGTGTGTGCTGGGGGCACTGAGGATCTTCATGAGAGTGTGTATGTGTGTTTGTGTACATGCTGGGTGGGGACGGGCTGAGGTAGTCCAGGAGTGTGTGCTGGAGTAGAGGGTACATCCAGGGGGTGTAGGGCTCCACAGTTCCTTCCTCTCCCCCAGCCGTCTGAGGCTCTTGTTCAGTCTCCCAGCTCTGACCGGGACCAGGCTATTTTGGTAGCTCAAGAACCGGTTGCCCATAGCCCTAGAGGGGTCCCAACCTTCTCTTTTCCTGAAAGATGGGTCCAGGTGGAAGGAACAAGGAGGATGTCCTTCCCCATCTACCAACAGTAAAATGCCAACACGTTCATATAAACCATATGTGAATGATACATGCCCCAGCCTCTTTCAACTCCCCGTCCTGTGGGAGTCACAGATGGAGCCTCATCCAGAGCTTATACTTCAACCCCATCCTTGGTGGCCCAGGCCTCATCCAAGGCTTCCTGCCTCCATTGTTGCTCCCTCCAAGTCACCCTACATGCCGTAGGCCATAGCCCTCACGCCAAAATCCAATTCCTTAGCCGGGCACTCAAAGTCCTTCCCCCTGTGGCAACATGGACCCCATCCTGCCTGGCTCCTCATCTCCGCATACCACCTCCTCCCAGCACTGCCAGAACAGCTCCTGCCTACAGTGAACCCTCTCTTCAGGCTCTACTTGTCCTCCCCATGCTTCAGTGTGGGTTCTGGGAGCCTCCCAGATGCCCCCTCCCCCTGAGCTCCCACAGTCTAAGTTCCCGCCCACCCAGCCTGCCCTCTCCTCCTTCCTCAGGTATGAGATTCTGCATCCCCCCCCATCCCAGTTGCATCCCCCACTCCATCCCACCCCAGCCAGATATGAGCTTCCTGGGAACCTGCTGGGCTCCTCCTCTCCATCTGCTCCTGGCAGGGGACCTAGAGCAGGGAGGGCGCTGCTGAGTGGGGAGGGAGGATGAAGGAGGGGACCCCAGTTCAGTCACCATGGGGTGCCACACAGGTGGTGGGCAGCTCTGAATAGGCACCAGATGCTGGTGGCAGGCCAACAGTGGGTTCCCAGACTGCCACCCCTCCCTCCCTGTCTCTCATTTTCTATGTCAAGCACCCAAGCAGGGGTGGGAGGAAGGGACTGCACAGAGGATGAAAGATGGGCTGAGGGGATTCGTGGTGAATGACATAGGGAAGCTGGAGAGAGACAGGATGATGGGGATGGTGATGAAAGTGGATCTGGAGTGGGGTGGTGTGGGCCAAGAAGGTGAGGGAGTAGTTGGTACTGTCCCAGCTCTGCCGCTTTCTGCTGTGTAACCTTGGGCAAGTCACTCAACTTTTCTGGGCCTTGGTTCATCTGCAAGGTGGAAGCCTGCCTTACCAAGTGGAGCGAATCACATGTAAGGCAAAGCACTTTATCATGCCATTCATTCATTCATTTATTCATCCATCCTCCCAAGTTCTTAAGGCACAGCAGATGCATCATACATGTCAGACCTCTTCCCTTACCCCAGACTTAGGGATGGCTCAAACCCCGACTCAGAAAGGATAAAGCTGGGAGGCTGAGGCTAATACCACTGATTCCATTATGAAGGCCTGAAGCGTTCCATGACCTGGGAGATGGAAAGGGGTCCCAGGTTATCCCTCTTTCCCCACTATACACCTCAATTGTGCTGTTGATGGAACAGTGACTGAAAAGGCAGAGACTAGAAAAGTTCCACTTCTTTGTATTAGATGTAGATGGCTTCCTGGAGGCAGGGATTTTCCTGGAGCAATATGCTTGGTCAGAAGGACAGGTTTATCACTGAAGCCCATAGACTGGAGTGCGTATGTGTTGGTGAGGACAGGTGTGTGCTGGGCATGGGCAGGGCACTCTGACAGAGACAGGAGGCTAGGGAAGGTCATAGTTGGTTCCACATTCCTCCAGGTGCACTGTGGCCAGCTGAGTGACAGTGAAGAGAGGAGCCTTCAAGCCGTGGAGAAGCACGTGAGTGGGGGGTAGGGCTGGCGTAAGATAGGAGCTGCTAAAGACCCTTATCACAACTGGTGAGAATGATCTGGCCAGGAAGCTGGACAGACCTTCCTTTCAGTCTGCCACGTTTGGGCTGTGTGACCTTGAGCAAGTCACTTAACCTCTCTGAGCATCAGTTTCACATCTGAAAATGAGGATAAGGATACCACTGACCTACTTAGTGCACTGGTGAGATGAGAGTCAAATATCTTGTCAGTACTTAGGAAGGACAATCTACATAATGATATTGAGGCTCTTTCCTGAGATTTTATAATGCGACTTTAACAAGGACGTAGGACTCCCTGTGGATGCTAGAGACACAGAAATCTGACCCTGTTCTGTCTTGGAAGAATCTGGGGCTAGGGGTGGAGACAAACCCTGTACATATCTGTTCACGGACGGAGGGATGCTCCGGGGGCCGTGCGATCCCACAGGAGGATGGAACGCTGAGGGATGAGTTGTTCCGGACGGGGGTGGGGGCGATGGGCACCGCAGGCAGAGGGACTGGCTTGACCAAAGGCGAGAAGTCCTAAGGCGGCGAGCGTGGTAAAGATGGGGGCGAGCGGCTCACTGACTGCTTAGTCTGCTCCAGACCCTGGTGGCCCTGAAAAGGGTGCAGGCCTTGCAGCAGCGCGGGCCCTGCGCAGCCCCCAAAGAGGTTCAGAACCCCCCGGCGGGAGCGGCAGAAGACCAGAAGAGCGGGATTGCCTACACCGACCAGGACCGAAAGATCCTGCAACTGTGTGGTGAGGACTCGGCTTGGGGCCCGGTCCTGGGGGCGAGGCAGGGTCGAACCTGGCGGGCGTTGCAGGGCCTTGTGGGGGCAGGGTCTTGTTTGGGGTGGGCGGGGCCTGAGAGGTGGGGCGGCCCAGAGTGGGCCGGATAGCAATTGGAACAGAGATCTGTGGGCTGGGCGAGCAGGTGGAGCCAGAGGAGCGCAGTCTTGCGGGAGTCGATGGGCCNGTGCGTGTGCGTGTACTGAGAGCAGCAAGCTGGACTGTAGTTGGAGGAAACGGGCCTGGGAGAGAGCCATATGGACGAAGCGGTGTTCAAAATCATTTTCCTGTCCTAGGAACAGAAGGGTTAGCACCCCCAAATCACCATTCCCTCAGTAGGGGGCAGACTTTGGGTGTGGACAGATAAATGAGTTGGTCTTGGTGTACCCAGGGACTCTGCTGAGCTCATTAAAATAGAATTAAAGGTTTCTGAGGCGCCTGACCTTTCCTGAGCTTCTGGCAGGGGAGGACGGTGGGAGTGGGGGGCACTGTGGGGAGAGCAGGGGACAGGAGAGGAAGGAAAGGGTACTTGGCTCGGTCTCCTCTGCGCCCCATCTGCCTGACTGAGGGAGCCGCGGCCCCCTTGGTTTCTCCCGCCCCCGCCCCCAGCTTCTGTTCCTGCAGGGAACGGATCTGCTGCTGGCAGCGTTCTCAGCGCTGCTTCCCTCCCTCCTTTGGTCCCAATCTGTGCCAGAGCTGGTCTCCTCAAAGGGACCAGGACTAAGGATATGTGCAGAGGTGGGGGTGGGAGATGGCAGCTCAGTTGCCCATCTTTGTTGAGGGAAAAGAGTCTGGGGTGTCAGGTTCCTGAGAAGGACTTCCTGGGGCTGTGCGGGCTGGGTCAGAAGAGAAGCAACTCCTCCAAGGCGAAGACATCTAGCAGGTTCTTCATTTTGTGGGCAGGAGGATGGTTGCCATGACCGCTGTTCACCTTGGCTCAGGTTGGGCCAGGAGCCAAGGCTTCAGCCTTCTCCTGGGAAGAAAAGCCTGTGTGTTGTGTATTGGGGATGGGGAGGGGGTCATATCACTTGAATTTAACTCAACCTAGTAAAACCCTGCTCAGTCCTGCTCCAGGCTGGGTGCTGGGGCAGAGGGAGGAGTCAGACCCATTTGTGCCTTCTAGAGGCTCTCAGTCTGAGGGAAGGCGGAGACACCCTCAGACCACCGCTGGCCAAAGGAAATAAATGCTGCTAGCAGGTGCTCTGGTGGCAGAGACTGGAGCAGCAACAAGTGGTACCTCACATTGGAGACAGTATTTGAGTGGGGTTTTGGGGAATGGGTAGGAGGTCAACAGGCAGAGAAGAAGGGAAAGGATATTCTAGGCAGAGAAAAGAGCATGAGCAAAGACAGGGTGGGGAGAGGGATGGTGGAGCATTGGGGGAAGAGCGTGATCCTGGTGAGGCTGAGGTGTAGGGTGCATGCTGTTGAGCAAGATGCTACCCAGGGCTTTGGTTGCCTGGAGAAGTTCTCAACAACCGTCCCCTTACCTTCTCAAATGCTCTGGGCAGTGAAGAGCTCTTGAAAGGTGTTTGGATTATTCATGGTTTGCCTCTCCTCCAAGCCTGTGCCTTCCTACTCAAGTAGAAATGCACTTCTCCGCAAGGTGTGCCCTTCTGTCATTACAACGGTGGAGTTGGCAGGTGTGCCCAGGCCAAACAGTGGGGTGGATGCAGGAGGAGTGGCCCAAAAAGAGTGCAGAATTTTTGCTGTACATGCTTAAAGATGCAGAGAGTAATGCCGAGCTTCAGGGTTTAGATGTAGACTCTCTGGTCATTGAGCACATCCAGGTGAACACAGCTCCCAAGATGCGGTGCAGAACTTACAGAGCTCACGGGCCGGTAACCTACACATGCTCTCTCCTTGCCACACTGACATGACCTTAACAGAAAAAAAAACCAGATTGTTTCTAAACCAGAAGAGGAGGATGCACAGAATAAAAAACTCTGCCAAAAGAAACTGAAGAAGCAAAAACTTATGACCCTGGTGTAAATTCAGCATCAAATAAATGCT